GTCATAGTTCACAGCAACCTCAAACTTCTGGGCTCAAGCGATTTTCTTGCCTCAGCCTCCCAAGTAGCTGGGACTACAGGCGCCTGTCACAATGCCCGACTATTGTTAGAGATGGGGTCTTGCTCTTGCTTAGGCTGGTCTTGAATTCATAAGCTCAGGCAATCCACCCACCTCTGCCTCCCAGAGTGCTAGAATTATAGACCTGAGCTACCGCGCCTGGCCCTTCCATGCGGTGAAGGCTATGTTAACCAGTTTGTTGTATTTCAAATTGTATATAAAACCAGTGCATTGTACACAGCTATGATTTAATAAAGAAAAAAACCTAACTGGTTTTTTCAAAGCCATTTCCGGGAACTGTAGTTATCCCTCGAACTTATTGACTGTAACTGTGATTAAATTCCAAGGACCAGTAGGGGAGAGACTAGATAGCCAAGTATCTCCATTAGGGTCCTGGGGCTTAGTCCCATTCCCTAAACTAAGCTGTGGATGAGGTATTTTTATTTTTCATTTTATTTTTGGTTGCAATCAGGTAGTTAAGTCCAGACAACCACCTGCCCTCTTTCCAGTACGTTTTTCTCCCTATTTCATTCCCGGGGCACACAAACCTGTAAGTCTTGCCTTACGGAAGGAGGAAAATTTGGTGCAGACCGTGGGGACCAGCATCTTGTTAGAGGAAAGCCAGGGGTTGGGCAGTGAAGGGAGGAGAGGATGAAGATTTAGAAGTGAGTAAAGCGCGCGAGAAGGCTTCACCTTGAAGGACAGGCAAATGTTACCCTACTAGTGTTAAGTGCTTTGCTCACTGGGTGCTTTGCCCTAGAGGAAGCGCTCAGGCAGGGGACGCACGCTCTGAGGGCTGCAGAGTACTTGCCTAGCATCGTAAATACTTTGCATTTCCAGTGCGCCCAGAGAAAAGCAAAAGAACGCAATAAAAAAATTTAAAAAAATACCGTAGTAAAATTTTCAGAAAACAAAGTTTGTTCTGAAGAGGCCGCCGGTGGGCGCTGCTATTCCACACTTTACGGGCATTGGCGTTAGTGGGAGCGGTCCCGACTGGGGAGTTGTACAGCAGTCCGGCCTGGGGCTCCAAGTTGTTTCCGCGCGCGGTCTCCCGGGGATGGGCGTCACTGGGTACCCACGTGGAACTCTCAGGGCCAGCAGCGGCGCACAGATTCGGTTCCTTACTAACACTCGGTCTCGCGAGAACACAGGCGCATGTCTCGCGATAAGCGGCCGCGGGCGGAGCGGAGGATCCGAGCGGCGGCGGCAAGCGGCCGCCAGAGGTGAGCAGCTGGAGCAGTGTAGGTGTCCAGGCTCCCCGAGTACTGGGGTGCCGGGGGCCCGGGCAGGGCGGCGGTGAGGGGCTGGGTTAGGTCTGCACGCCGAGGTCGGGCACGGCGCTGTCCTCCTCCCCAGTTCCTGCGGCTTTCGACCCCGCGCCCTGGTTCGCGCCCTCTTGGGCTGGGCCCTGCCTGGCCTTCTGGCGCGGGTCGGTCCGGCGTCTTTTCCCGGAGACCTCGCGCCTCAGACGTCGGTCGCACCGCAGGTCCCTCGCCCCGAGACCCCGCGTCCCCAGTCTCCCTTGGGCGAAGTCTCTGCTCCTTCCTGGCCCGGGATCGGACCCTCTCCCGACTTTCTGGAGCGTCCCCTGGCGAGTGGTTCTGGTGAAGGGGACCCAGGTGGAGCAGCCTTGGGTGGAGGGGACTCCAGGTGAGCACCCGGCCTGCAGCCGCGGAGGTGGTGGCTGTGTCTCCGGGGGTGAGGGGTGGGGGCGGGCTTCTTGCTTTCTGGGCACAGCGTCGGGTCGCTGGGGCTACACCTGGCGGTCGTGGGCGTGGTGGTCGTCATCTGATAGTTCCGCTCTCAGCTTGCCCTTCGCGTCTGGTGGGAGTTTGGAGAAAGCAGGCAAGACGTGCTCGTGTCCCGGGCCGCCTGGTGGGGCAGCGTGAAGGGGTGTTGCAGGATGGGGTCATTTCGGTAGCTTCCTCAGGTTTCTGGGGCTGTTAAGGAGCCAGGGCAATGGAGAGGCATTGCATACGGGACCAGGGATTCTGCTGCCAGCAGTCGAGGTTTGGTGGTCGGTTTGCTGGAAGGGTTGAAGCTCCTGTAAAGAGGATGCAGTTTGAGCTGGTGTCTTATCGCAGGGTTCCAGGTAGTTGAGAGTGTGGGGTGGTCTTTTCATTCTAGTGTATTACCTGCATCATTCCTGATGCAGTGACATCTCCAGAAGAGCATTGGCTCCATTTTCCATTATGGGCTAGAACGTGTGGCCTTGGTCTGATCTTGGCAAAGGGTAGGATTTGGACTCATAGACCCTCTAGCCCCCACCCACAGGCTGTGTTGCAGTGAGAGCCCCATCTGACCTCCCTTCCAGACAGTGGCTGGAGAAGACAAGGGCTTAAATGGGAAATTAAGAGGCAGATATATCACATTTTCCTCTTTGTGGCAGGGGAGGATGTTTTCAAACTAATATTTAGAGGACATCAGTGAGAGTAGACTTCTCCTAGAGCAGTGGTTCTCATCCTTCCTAATGCTGCAACCCTTTAATACGGTTCCTGTGGGTTATGACCCACAGGTTGAGAACCACTGTCCTAGAGGGAGAAACAGTATGCATCCTGCCTGAGTTCGTACCTTTTTGGTAGAGACCAGTGCAGGTTTTGGGAATGTAAAGTTCTCTGCAACTGCTTGTCTTCAGCCCTTTCTTGGCTTGGCTTGTGGAACACATGGATGTGGTACCTTCAGAGACAGACAGACCAAGGTTCCAATATCAGTTCTGTAGTGTTTTGAAGCCTCAATTTCATCATCTGTAAAATCTGAATAATAAGACCTAATTCAGTGCCTTGTTGCGCATTGAGCTGTTGTGTATAAACTTACAAGCAGAGTGTTAGTCAAACTATGCAGCAACATGTGCTCCATCTACATTTGAAGACGATTTGATGGCCTTGACTGTAATCCTCAAAATTTCCCAAAGTGAGTCTCTCATCACCAGCTTACCGGTGAGGAATCTAAAGTTCAGGAAGTCTGGTTGTCAGATACCTTTCTTTTTGGTACTTGATTGAAAATAGTAGTGTAATGCTTATTAGGACCATCGTTAATATATAACAATAATAAGCATTGTTATGATCATTGTCATCTTTATTGCCACTGTTGTACAACTTGTCTTTAATCTCAGAGGCCAGACTTCTTTGCAAGTAGTGGTAATGGTTAATGTTAGGCGTCAAAGTGACTAGAAACCTGGTAGGAGATTATTTTTAGGTGTGTCTGTGGGCATGTTAGCAGAGTACATTAGCTTGGGAGTCTGAGTAGAGTAGGTTGGGGAGACCTACTCTCTGTGTGACCAGCGCCATCCAACCTATTGGGGGCCTGCAGAGATAAAAACGGCCACTGTGCCTATCTTGCAGAGCTGGGATATATTCTTGCTTTCCTTACTCCAGGCTTGCTGGACTTTGGACTTCGGTGACCCTTCAGATTGGGAGTTATATTGTTGGCTTCCTGGATTCTGAGGCCTTTATGCCTGGACTGAACTGCACTACCAGCATCCCAGGGTCTAAAGTGTGCAGACGGCCTGTGGTGGGGCTTCTCAACCTCCATAATCACGTGAGTCATTTCCCTTAATAAATCCCCTTTTGTGTATCTTATATCTCTGCATCCTATTGGTTCATTTCTGGAGATCTCTGATATGGAACTTATGTGGGAGATCCCTAAATGGAACTTATGTGGGAGACATGCCCACTGACAACTGAACGCCTTCTCCTGGGAGCTGTTTGTCTTTCTGTGTGCAGGTCAGATTCAATCAGTGGCCTCTTGGTTGAGGTTTGGTGGTGTGTTTTCACACCTCCATTTCTTCTCTGGTAAATTGACAGTATGGATTTCTGGTTAATGCTGAAGAACGTGGCCATAGACATGGGAATTTTTTTTTTTTTTTGCAGTTTTTGGCCGGGGCTGGGTTTGAACATATAGGGCCAGCGCCCTACTCCTTAGAGCCACAGGCGCCGCCCAACATGGGAATATTTTAAGGGCTCTGAAGCACATTAGGCGAGCAAGGCTGTCTAGAACTCCTCCACTGAGTGTATAGCTGATGTCACATAGAAAGACTGATCTCTTTTTTGTCTCCCTTAAAAGGAAGGTGACCATGGAAGACCTGGGGGAAAATACCACTGTTTTATCCACCCTGAGGTCTTTGAACAACTTCATTTCTCAGCGAGTGGAGGGAGGATCTGGACTGGATATTTCCATTTCTGCCCCAGGTACTCTGCAGATGCAGTACCAACAGAGCATGCAGGTAAGTGGCATGTGTTAGAATTGGGATCTCTAGATAGACATCTGGGCTCTAGTAGGGCCAGTTCCAGTTCCCTATCTTGAGGCAGATAAATATTAGGTTGGCCTAGAATTGAACTGGTTGTCTTACGGATCTCATTGTGGGCCTCCTGATTTTGGGCATAGCTTGAGGCCCTGGACTGTTCTAGCTTAAAGGCCTGGGTTTTTTTTTAGCACCCCAGGAGTGGGTCTGGTGTTCAACACTAATGAACTTGTAGACAGTAGTGATAGTATTAGAAAGCCAAACCCAAACTTTCTGGAAGCAGCAGCACTGAAATTTGTCCAATCA